CTTGACGTGGTTACCGACTGCAAAATAGAAAAGACCACAGTGTATCTGCTATTTTTCTTATTTATTCAATTTTCAGCAATAGAAATTAGATCAGTCTTCCCTCATGCGAAGTTTATGATTAGTTGATTACAATGACTGGAAAAAAATTGGGGTGCCCGTGCTCGTTGGTGAGCTAGAGCCATTTTTCAACTGAAAGAGCTCAATATCAAGGCAAATCCGGCATGTTTTCAATATGCGCGTGCACGAGCGCGCGCTAATGACGCCATGAGTTATGCGCAGTAAGGATGCGCAATACAAATGTGATGAATGACCTTAATACTGAAGAATATTAATACGACCCTTTTAAGACGAATGCAGAGGGAACCTGTTTACAGCAGACACCCTCACGTGTTAAGCGGACACTAGCAAGGTCCGCCTAATACAGGTTTAACTGTAGATTTGTCGTTCGCTGTAATGTTGGCATTCTGGTGTAGACAGGGTTTCTGTCTGCTGTCCCCGTGGTGGGAGACATAAGTATGTGCGATCCCAGAAGGGTATGGTTTTTGAGCGGCTTTGCTAGTCAATTTTTGATTTCCCCTGCGCACTGTACTTTGCTGAAATCCCGACCCTCTCCCCCATGTACAAAATGTTTTGACACGCGCTTGCCTCTGGATACACGTGTCGAGTCAACATGGAGGACTTTCAAGTGTCTTCAAAATGGAAACCCGAAAGTCGCATATTAAATAACGCTTTAGCGGTTACTACTGGCTGAAGCAAACGACGCCAATAGCCAGATTGCTGATACAGACAATGATGCATATATGGAGAAGGACTTGGTAGTTCTCGTTTGTCTTCAAATTCGGATGTGAGCACCGTCGAGAACGCCGCTGAAAATATGCAGGGAAAGAATCAGTTTTCAAGATTCAGGATATTACATACCGAAGAAGGTAAACATTTTTATGTTATTTATACCCTGCTGATGCTTCGAAATGCTGACGTTTCGAACTGAAGTAATATTAGGATGTACAGTGGCGAAACATGTAAAGTGACAATAATTTTGGTCACGCACTTTACTGCTGGCNACGCTAATGACGCCATAAATTATGCGCAGTAAGGATGCGCAATGCAAATGTGAGGAATGACCTTAAGAGTGAACTGTAATACATGTATTATTAGGAAGAGTTAAATTGCATTTGAGATTTTCAAGGGATTTAATAAATTGATTTAGAATTTTATGGTATAATACTCTACATGATCAACAGATACAGTACATGTAGTACTTCAAATTTTAAGTTCTTGATTCAAATTTTCAGTCAGGCTATCAAGAGGACTTAGTGTATGCTAGCCCACATGCACAACATAGAAAAATGCTACGCATTTAATTTCTAGTCATGCCTGTGAAATAAACTTTGTTTGCTTCCAGTGAAATGAGGACTTGTTTACACAATCACCCTGTGGCCTTTATAGGAGATTCCAGAACAAGAACTTTGTACTATGAACTGGTAAAGACGGTTAGCTTGCATTCAGTTACGGAAGAAGAAAAACCTGTAAGTTTTTAGAGAAAAAAAAAATCTGACACTAGTGCTTGAAACAACTAGGCAGGTGTGACAGCGCCAGAAGGGGGAGAGGGATTGTTTACTTCCATATATTGGCTATATAGGTTTCTTCTATGGGATTTAGGGTATGGTCAAGGTTCCCGATTCTTAAATAGGGTACATTATTTTTGCTCCTGTTAGCATTGTGTTCCTACTCTCTCTTTACTTACATCCAAGATAATATTATAATTATTTTTTGCAGCACCATGATTTGTTTTATCGTGACAAGACAAGCAATACAAGTGTGGTATGTAATATATCAAACACGAAAGACCGTGTTTGACCACATTTCCAAACACCAAGAAGAGAGTTGAAAATATGACGCGGAGCGGAGTATTTTTGACAAACTTCGAGGTGTTTGGAAATGTGGTCAAACACTGTTGTGAGTGTTTGATAAATCTTCTCAATTGAAACTATAACTAAGGAGAAAATGGAAAAATTAAATGGTAAAAATCTATGCTAATTAAGATCAGATATCCAAACACTGTCACAGTCATGATTTCCTTTGTTTAGACTTGATGAATTATTAATGAGTTTGAGAGGTCATGTAGCAACTATGATGTTGTTGTATTTTTTCATTATATTTTTTCTCTTATTTAAAGACAACAGTTAAGAGATCTTACCTTCCTATTGAAAGCATTCTAGCAAAAAGTTGTTTTAATTTGTTCTTACAGTCATTCTACTGGCAACCAATGGTCAATCTATCTATGAAGGGATTGTATGATGATTGGACCAAGGTAATCATTATGTTAATTACTTAATTAATTATTAATAATTATATTCAATTTTCAAAATATAATTTATAAGAACAAATTATAATTAAATTTGAAGTGATTTGATAATAAATTATTAAATAAATATTGCAGGTTGTAGCTGCTATTAAATTGATTTAAAATTTCTTTCTTTTGTCAATGCATTTTCAAAAACATCATTGATGATAGAAGTTACTTTTTATCAAAACCAGTCTTGTAATGGCTCTTTTTAACCAGATGTAATGTTAGTGAATGTTGAACATAAAAAGGCAGATCACAGTGACTTTGTTAAATCAATGTTGCACTGTAGCATAATGCTCAATAAGAGCCATTACTGTTACTTCTTGATGGTGTGCTAATCCATCATACCTTAATCCCTTGCCTCCTCTCCCCTCCTCTTCTCCCTCCCCCCCCCCCACCCCACCCCCCAAACCTTCCTCAATATCTTTTCAGGTTTTCATTTTATTTTTGTTAGGATCCAGCACTGTGAGAATGATAAATTTTAAGTGTCTTGCCTCTGAACAGTGGGCTGAAACTTTAATTTGTTAAGTACATAATACCATGAGAACAATAATTGACTCACACTCTTTCATTTTCCTGTAGAATCCAAACAAATGCCCTCATCTCATTATTAGTGGAAGTGGAACAGTAAGTTTGCCGTAACTATTGTATAACACTATATATCAGACTACAAAACCTCAAATGAATTGTAAAATAAAACTTTGAACAAGCACAGTACATGGGCACTTAATACTAAATTTTGCGAGCTCAAGGAATGGCAACAAGATCATTATTTTTATAACTTTTAAGTGTTACTCTCTGAAAAGCATTCCTTCAGGACAGGGTCACCTTGATATTTATATTTCACCCTTGATACCTCTGAAGTGCCCAAATAGCAAGCTTTGAACCTTCTGAAAATAAAACAGGTCATTTTCTACTCAAAAACATGAAGTCATTACATTTGTTACAAACACTCAAAGAGCACAGTAACCTTATCAAAATAGAGAGCATTTATTTGTAATACATGTTTGAGGCAGATGTTGCAAAAGTACCCTCAACTCATGGGGTGTTTTGAATTATGGGCCCTTTAGAAATTAAGACATTGTGTGACTTTAATACCAAATAATACTGCATCTTATAAATTTTTGAGCAAAGAAGAAAACGGAACCTGCTTTAAATACCCTTAGTTTTTTCTGTATCCAGTCTATTTCACACCCTAGCTGGACAATTTTCACACATATTGGGACTGGATGTATAAGTCTAAGATGCCATGAAGGTCTCATTAAATCAGTGACAGTCACTTCCTTCTTTACTTAAACCTGTGACTGCATTTATTAGTAGTGTATACAGTGGACTTGTTTCAGATTGTTATTACTTATTATTCTTTTTGGCTTGTTTCAGTGGACTATAAAACACCAAGGACTAGATGCAGTCATGAATTATGGATGTGAGTTTGATTTAGTTAAAATGAGAAAGTGATTGATGAACCTCCTTATGCAGTATAATAAACAGTACCACTCAAAAGTACTGCTCAGACAATAGTTTCATTTGGAAGACTATGCTTTCTTTAGGATTTTAGCCAACAAATTAGAGACTGGGTGGCTGCACCTAAACAATGCCTTTAATTAACAAATCATGTCTGACTCAGTGGTCATACAATTCCATCACAAGAAGTGCTGTAGATCTCTCATTGTTGGAAATAATAATTGAATAAATAGTTATAAAATATTAATGTACATGTATTATAGAATCTCTCTGATACTTTCATTTTACAGATAATTTAACAAAGGTCAAAGGGTCAATGGAGGCGTTAGTGGCCAAAAAAAGAAATGAAAGCCAAATGCTGCTCAAGAAAACAAGTCCTTTTCCACCTTCTCCAGTAATTGTCTGGGTTCAGCAAGGTATTGACACAATTTTGATTAGTTTTGCCTGGAGGATCAGATGTTAAATTCAAACAACATTTTATGGTCCATAAATTGAAGTGGAGGACTTAAATTAAGAAGGAGTACTCTAAGGTATAGTCTTTTTGTCTGTAAATTTTCTGGTTGGACCAGACTGATCCATTTGGTTTCAACCAAACTTTCTCAATTTTTTGTCAAAAGATATGCACCCTCCTGTGAATACTCTTCTGGATAACACAGTCGTGTTCTTGCTAGTTTTGTTTTTGCCCTGATTAGTTGAAAAGCAGTCTTATCAGTTTTGAGCAGACCATATCTGTTTTTGGGCAAATATGTAGGGTTCAGTGTTCAACAATACAGGTGATGTCATTGTATTGTAAGTGAATAGTGTCTAGACTTTGATATCCCTAAAATTGCAAGGATTAGAAATTTGATCATAGAAGCAAACTGCTTTGTCATGCTAGCATGATACCAACATTTATGTTAGTCAGTTATGTAGACCTCCTTTTAATTTAATTTATCATTCTTGTTGCAGAGCCAGTTGTGGAATCAAAGCTCCATGAGGCACGCAAAATGATTACAAATGAAAAGATTGAACTATTTAATTCTATTGCTGGAGAAATGTTGTAAGTTCAGTCATGTATGTAGATGAAACTCGACATCTACCGAATGTTTTAACAAGTTTAGGTTAATTTTTCTGTTGTGCACTGCAGTTGTTCTTTAGGTCATCTAAGTCCTTTAGAGACAGAAATTTGACATGTCATAACAAGGGACTGAGTTATTTAATATATATATATTATTTTAATATTAAAATTGTCTTTTACTGTAGCCAGGAAGAAAACTCCTCTGTGACTGTGATGTGGACATCATTTCATGCAGCTGAGAAAAAGCCTGAGATATCAACAGATGGACTTCACTATGGACCATCAATAACAAGCCTGGTAATTATGGACTCATGTACAAACAAATTATTTGAGTTTCTCAATGTAGTAAAGCTATATCAGGGGTTTCATGAAAGGGCCAGGCACCAGTTTGACTATGTAGAGGAAAGTTTTACCATTAATAGAAGTTCAGTTCAAATAGTTTTGCCACCCTTTTTGTGTTGTTAATTATTTATTTTATTCTTGCTCTTTTAGGAGCTGAATTTGATATTGAATTATTACTGTAATCAATATCTTCAAGTATCTGATGCTACCTGTTGTGTGCCAGCACCGAGACTAACACATCTGCAGCGGAACACATTTGCAGTTTTTATCACATGGTGAGATGTGCCTGTTTTTATTTCCAAGTGATTGTGGAACATTCTAGTTTAGTTAGGGTGGCCCACTTTCTGGCAGAGCAGGTTTTATTAATTTCTGGTTATACAAGTTTCTCACAACCACACTTACATATTAAGCATTATATTTCAGTGACTTGCTTAGCACAGAGTGCATTGCACTTGGTTCTTTTAAATTTATGGCTGCAATAATTTCAGTGACACTCTCCTACTCAACAATAATTTCAGTTTTTACTTGATGTTGTACACTGTGGTAGCAGGGTTCCAGATAATTTTTTCAATGCAGGGTGTCAATAAGGAATTCCAACAGGTCAATTCCCACTGCTCCCACCAAATCACTATACATTTTCTATTAATTTATCGGGTCATGTATCTGACCTTGCCAGGTTTTTGACCTGACACCCCACACTTATCTGGAACACTGTGTGGTAGTATGGTGAGAATGTTCTGCTTTTCATTTTTCTTGACAGCATTGTGCTGTTTTTGATTATGTTTGTCTGTCAACATCTGTGGCCGGCAGAACCCAAAGGATCTGGTGGTAAGAAGGAATATTTCATCTCTGAATTTTAAGACATTGTTTTTATCATACATGTACAAATTAACTAAGCTTCCAAATTTAAAAAGGAACTTCAAAATGATAGGTTAACTTAGTCTTATAGATGAATATCAAAGACATGAATTGATGAACAATCAAGGGGATATCGGGATGTTTGTGTCTGTTTATGGCTGACTAGTCTTTGAAGAGACTCTCTTGATTGGTAAAGGGGAAAATCATCTGTAAGCAAATGAGCTAAGTGTGGTCTAGGAAGGAAGATCTGATACAATCATTCTCAACTCGCCCATTTTCTTTTGCCCTATACCCTACTAGGGAGCCTGTTCACACTGTGTAGAGAATGAGATACAGTACATGAAAATTAAGGGGTTGTGGCAGTCACACCTGATATCCTGAAGTGGCTAGTGGTTGTTTTTCTAGGCTAGCAGATTTTAATATTGAAGGGCTCTCTGAGCCTAACAGTTTTTCAGCCTATATTAACTTGGCCTACTTAGATGTCTAGGTTACTGAATCCTTTTTCTTGAGGCTGAAATCATTGACCAAGTAATGCAATCTGAATGTATTGGTCATTTACAGGTGCTGAACCAACCACGCCTGGAGGCCGTCCCAGCTCCTCATTACGCTGGGTCTATTCAGACAGGATGTACCCTGTTATGAAGAGTTTGTTCAAAATGGGCCTCATAATGTTTTACTTTTACCTCTGTGACAGGTAGTTATTTAACATGTAAATTTCCTTACAATATCAACACATCATCAAATGGACAAGTGATGGGATAAAGTAAACCGTCTGATCAGCTGGTGACGCTGTCTCGATGTGCTGTCAAAGTTTCAAGACTAATTTCGGGCTTGCCCTTTGGGTGGGAGGCGAGCTGACCTCACGGTTAGTGCGCTCGTCTCCAGATTGAGCAGTCTGGGTTTCGAGTCCTGGCTGGGGACATTGTGTTGTGTTCTTGGGCAAGACACTTCACTCCCACAGTACCGGCAAACTTAATGCTGGGGGTAACCCTGCCCTCTCACCAGACTCCCCGAAAATCCATACCTTATGCTATACTTCTGTAATTTGAATTTCCTTGTAATTTTTTCAAGAAATGTCACTTGCCCAAGTGAAGGACAGAATCCACTGGCTAGCCCAACTGCAAAATCCACTAGCCCTGGGCTATCACACACAGGTTGCAATGCACTCTGTAATATTGGAGGAAAAAAACGAAAATTAAAAAAAAAAGTTGAATCAAACCCTTAATTAGTGTTTACTGTAGCATAGAGGGAGACAAGTTTCCTTCATTGTAATTTCCCTTTTCACTATGTGCCATCCCTCTTTTTATGTGCCATTTTTAAACGTTCTTTCTTTTAATTTTCAGGACAAACTTGTTTTTCAAAGAACAGAAAGAATACAGTCATCTCGTTTTCATGTTAGTCCTGATTGTTTTCTTGGCACTTGGTGCGTGGACCTGGGTACCAGCTCAGCAGGTTTGTCCTCCTGTTTTCTTTTTCTAGAGCGTTTTTCTAATGAATCTAAGAATATTCAATTTCGAGGCTTTCTATAATGTAGAGCACGCAGTGTAGAAGATCACTAAAAGTTCGCTTTTTTTCTAGTTTTAAAACCAATAATTCTAATTATTAAAACTTACTTGAACAAAAGACAATTCAAAGATTTGCTTTCGACACAGAGCTTTTCCGTGTCATTTTCGGTTTGATACTGTGGGTAATTTGTTTTCTGTTTTCCACAGACTGTCGTGTTAAACAGAGATCAGACAAATGAGTGGAAGGGCTGGATGCAGTTGGTTATTCTCTTGTATCATTATATTGGAGCAAGCAAGGTAATACAGTCGAACCTTCACTAACGGCCACCCCTCTACAACGGCCACTTGTTTTGGTCCGAGCGGACGGTTTATACATTCACTCTCATTTTAACCTCTCCACAACGACTACGGACACTAAAGCGCGTCCCAACTGCCAAAATAACCTCTCGACAACAACCAGTTAATCAACGACTGACGAACGGTGTATGGAAAACCCCATTTTAAATTGTAAAAGGTCACCAAACTTGGTCCTTACTGCGCGTAATTGGTCTCTGATTCTGTTTAGTTTCTGTTTTATTGACATATTTCGATTATGTTACCTACACTTTATATGCTAGAATAAGCATTTTTAAGGAAAAGAAATGTTGCACTCCCGAAAAAAATAAAGTGTCTTATAAAACCCCTACCTCCCCATGATGGCCACCTCTCTACAACGGCCACTGCTTTTCTCTGTCCTCAAGGTGACCGTTGTGGAGAGGTTCGACTGTAGAATAGAACACTATTTTCAACGAGTGTTCAGCTCTTTCTCTCTCCTGGCCATTCTAACCTTCTCCCAGTAGCCTCGTTGTGGTAAATTGCGGTGAAGAGCAGCCTCGCCCCCAAGGAGAAAGAGGTCTGCATTCTATCCCTGACCTGCCTTATATTTGGATCGTGTTCTTGGGCATGACATACCGCATAAATACGAAAATAAACCCGTTCAAAAGTATAGGCTCCCAAAATCTCAGATACAGTTGAACCTCACTATATCGAAATCTCAGGGGAAACGAAAAATAGTTCGAAATAGCGGAAGCTCGAAATAACCGATAGTAAATGAGTGAAGGACAAATCCAAGGAAATTGATTATGAGTTCGAATTAACGGGGAATTCGAAATACTGAGTTCGATAATAATTATACCCGCACTACCACCACAACTATAACAAGAACCCCCCCCCCCCTCCCCCTGAAAATAAGCCTTCCAGAAAGCCTTCTGAGCACTGGAATTTAAGCTCAGGGCTTCGTAGAGGAATTTTACAGCATTTCTCTCACGGTTCGTCTCTTCACCAACTCGACAACCTTCTGAGGAAACGATAGGGAATATTGTGTTGATGGACTGCCGCATTCTTAAAACCAGCATTCATATAAAAGTATGGTAATTATCAAGGAGAATTCGAATCTTGAACACACGGTTAACCATAATGTATTACTAATACTATCGACTGACTTGAATGTTTTTCGTTGTACATGCAGGTTCTTCCAATCTACGTGTTCATAAGACTTCTTGTAGCTTCGTATCTTTTCCTTTCTGGTTATGGACATTTCTCATTCTTTTGGAATAAAGGAGATTTCGGACTGTACAGATTTTGTCAGGTAATATTAACTTAATTTTGGTAATTTCCAATGACAGGAAAAAAAATTGCAAAATCGATAAGCGCTAAAAGTTGTGATTTATTCTGGACACTGACGAACTAAATTTGATCGCCAATTTTCAGCGAAATACAAACATCTTCCAGGAAGTTCTAATTTACTCCTTCAAGGCAAAATAATTGATTTGCTTCTGTTGTTCAAGAATACTAATGGAATTTTTTATCAAGTTTATTTAACCTTACTTACCTTTCAAGAAGTTGATGTCCTGTTTTTGTCTCCACGTTTCTGTACAAACACGTTGTAAAATCACAAAGGAGTTTTTCCCGCCACGAGCGCGGCTACCATGGTTTTCCCGCCAAAATGACTCTGGTTCACAGTTCACGCCCGTTCACAGTTTCCTTTTGGTAAATCTCCTACTCGCTCCACAATGCTTAGAATCCATGAAATGTTTTATTAAATATATTTGCCTGATTTCCTTTCAGGTTATGACAAGAATGAATATCCTTGTAGCTGTTCTTTGCCTGATCATGGGTCGTGCGTATCAGTTTTATTACTTTGTTCCTCTGGTATCGTTTTGGTTTGTTGTGATTTATGCTGTTATAGCAGTTTGGCCCAGAGTCACTGCTGCTCTTGTTAAAGGTAAGATGTTTTGCCTTGTAAGTAAGTACCCTCTTGCGGCATGTTTCATAATTTTCAATGACTTTTCCTGACCTACTTCGATTAACGTCAACGCATCAATAGATTGTGAGACTTTGCCTAGTTCAGGTACGGCTTTCTCCCAGACCTTCACGGTCAATTGATTTCGATGACATATCCGAGACGAACGGTCTGGACCACGTGACCCGAAAACGATCGACTGCGGCGAAAGATTGAGGCCTAGGAACTAAGTAAGGGAGGATCCAAAAGATATAGACGACAGAGCGCAAGCCACCCCCTGCCCCCTGCCCTCTTCCCCCCTTCCCTCAACCGAATAAAAACTTCCGTTCTCAAGACGGTTGGTTAATTTTTTTTCGGAAATGCAGGAGAACAGGAGGGCGGTGTGGTAGTTTTTCTGAATTTTTTTTATAATTTCTTCTTGCAGAAAACCACATGCATTACGTTGTAGTATTGCTGAAGTTATTCTTTCTCTTTGGTGTAATTTCTATGATCTGGAGTTCACCAGTAAGTCATTTGTTCGAATAGTTTTACAAACTATGCCACTGACCATCCGTTAATACAAGTCTTGGTGATTTTGAAAATTACTATCCGCAGACAAAACGACCTCACTGTAGTTGTTGATTATGGTGCATTACATTAAGGAATTCCTAAATAAAAAGGTCGGGACGTTTTATTTCGGACATTTAATATTCGGATCCTTTCATCTCATTTCGGACAAAAACTTCGGACACTTTGCTGAAAAATTGCTGAAGAAAATTTACGCCTACATAATAGGAATTAGGGTGAAACAAGATCTGTAAAAACAAGAGTTTAGCTGCACCCTCAAGGTTTTACCGATACACCGACGAGAAAATAACATGAATTCTATCAAGCCGTTTCGTATCTCAAGCATTGTCTCAACTAGAAATCCCTCAATAAAGGAAACTAAAACTCAAAGAGCTTAAACATTTTGGACGGTCTCATTTTCGAACACTCTTTCGGTCCAAAATTAAAATGGTCCAAAATTTTCAGCAAGTAATATTTAAGAAACAAGGATTGTCAAGTTTGGGGCAGGTAACTGATCGAGATGGATTTCGAACGACACAAACTTGACAGAGTTGCAGTATTCGTGTGGCCAGATTTTTCGATTTCTGGATCTCATTATGTGTCATAATCGGGATGCTTACGAGATCACTTTTTTTTTCTTTTCAGATGTTATGCCAGTGGATATTTTCCCAATGGGCAATAAAAGAATTATTTATTGATGAAAATGACAGTGTTCGTGAATGGTGGTTCCGGTCTTGGCTGGACAGATATGTGAGTAAAACCTCTCTTTTAGTCGTTGTGTGGTAGAAATCCATTTTCCGCGAATTCTCCGAGTTCTTAGCTGACGTCAACAACTTTGTTAAGTAACATAGCATGATCTCGTGACGTCAACCTGGCGTGCGGTTTTCGGGGTATTTTTTCGTTTCTCTCATTGGGAAGTAAGGTTCGGCGAGTCGTCGGGTGCGTCACGAGGATTTTCCGAACCTTGTGTGCCGGGTTTACTTGCATTTTTCTCCAGTGGTTCCTCACTTTGCCTTGGGTTGTATTGTTAAAAGGTTAAGCAGGGAGCGCAGGGCATGGGACCTGCGATGTCTAGCATTCTTAGCGTTTGTTCTTGAAAACGGAGTTGAGAGAACTGGCATTAAAAGTGTTAGCTAATAGGATCCGCGACTAGTTCTTTAGGAAGTAATTTGAGGACAGTAATAAGAACAGTTATTACAGGTGAGTAATTAATTTTCTCTTTTATTATTTTTTTTTTTCAGATTGCGCTTTTTGGAATGGTGTTAGCCTTTGCATACTACACTGCTAAAAATTTCAAAATGTTCGACGACAGCAACAAAAGAACTTTGTTCTCCAGACCTGTAGGCGTTGCCTGTCTTATCTTTGCTATTGTGGCTCTTCTGGTAAGATAAAACAAACCGAAAAAAAAGCGAAAAAAGTAACAAAAAAAAGAAGATAAATCAGAACCATATTTTCTTGATCTTAGAGAACTAAATAAAGAAAGAAATGGAAACTCATCAAATCTGTATTTAACCTTCGACGGATACAAGTAGCTGGTGTCAAACGCGGGGAAACACAGGCGCAAAAAGACTTGTTACAAGTGCGGGGTAAAAAATGTAGGAAAGCGCGGCTAAACGTGTAATGGGCGCCGAGCACGAGGAAAGGTATAACGGGTGCCAAGCGCGGCATAACGTATAACGGGTGCCAAGCTTGGGGTAACGTAACCGGTGCCAATACGCGGGAAATCGTCTTATCGGTGCCAAGCGCGGGAAAACATATAACGGGTGCCAAGCGCGGGAAAACTTTGCCTTCGCTCCTGATTGGTCAGTGCACGTTGAAAAAGTGAAGTTACTAAGTTTTATTTTTGTCTTTTGCAGAGTTACGCTATTCAGGCTTTGACGTGTAGATCAAAAGTCTCTTGTAACGAGACACATTCAACAGTATCATTTATACCTGTGAGTTTACAATGTGTTCTTAATTCCTTCCTCATATACCTTTTTTCTTTTCCCCTTGCTCTGAGTCTGTAGTATGTCTGGCTTGATGCTGCTGTCTTTTTCTCCGCCTCTGCTCATTTGCTTTCCTCCCAAATTCCAACCCAACCTCGTTCAAGGCTCTCTCTCCTTTGCTTCCCTTGTCGTTGAGGAGACAAGGAAGGCAAAGAAGAGAGAGCCTGGGAACGAGGTTGATTCCAAGCCACTCCGAGGCAAAAGACGATCACCTTGACAATTCTTACATTGTATTATTGGTCCGTAATGCGCGCATTAAGGCAGATTATCAAGTTTTATTGTCTGGCTGTAAAAAGAACCCAGCACTCTTCGAGTGTTTAAAGATTTTTCCAACACGGCAATTGCCATCCCAGCTATCTCTCGTTCAATCTCTATTTGTTCTTGCTTTCATTTCTTGTTTCCTTTATTTTGCAGATATTAGCCTTTTTACTCCTCAGAAATGTTCCTGG